GTCTTGTTTAACAAAATATATATATATATATATTGGATTAATAGAAAGAAAATACATAATTTAGTGTAAAGTTTACAAAGACTGAATGGTAAAACAATATGACTGTACTTAGAAAACAGATGGTTTTAATCTCTTGCTGGACAAAATACTCAAATGGAGTGGCCAATGATGTTGGAAAAATATTACCCTTGATAGTTAAGGATGTAACAGGTTATTAGCAAACATTTTAGAGAATTCCAAAGAAAGTAGACACTGAAAACTGTAGATATTGTTTTAATTACGGATCAGTTACACTTTAGTGTCATCATTAATCTGTATATTTTAGAGTAATGTGCAAATAAAAGTTTTAAAAATATTTTTTCCAATGCAGAAAATTACAAGAGAGAGTACACAGTATCTATATGCTGCTGGGATTAAACACTGAATTTTAGTACTATATGTCCCCAAGCTTAATGCTGAGCCACCAGGGGGTGTTGATAGTTAAATGTTACCAGCTGGTCACTTTCCATACACACTTACATAAAAAATAAAACTATTTGTTAGTCTTACCTCTTGAAGAGAATCATCCCAAAACCGATCACATGTGAGGTAAAAACAGGTGGCTTTGTTTATCTCTTCTAAAGATGAAAAGAAAACGTAGTTAACTATAAGATACTATAAAAATTATTTTGTGAAATTTATTTCAATACCTAAATGTAATCTAGGCCAGTGGTTCTCAACTACCAGTATATGGACTGGTGCCATTCCATAAACAGATTTCAGCCAGTCCACAAGACAGCTGAAAGAAAAACTATGTTTCAAAACACACATTGAAAATATGTTGTATTACAATGTAATATAAAAGTCTATGAAATTTTGGGATCAGAATAAACTGGTTCTAAGATGAGAAAAAAAAGAGTTGGAGATCACGGTTCATGTTAGTAAGGAGAATAAACTACTTTTCATAATACAAATGTATACAAAGACACAAAATTCACAGCAGCTTAAAAATTTCAGAATGTTCATTGTACTATTCAGTGGAATATAATATGTTAACTTTGCAAACTACATATTGGCCTAGAAGGTGAAAAAAAACAATGTAATTAAGAAACATATCAAGTAAAGATTAATTTGCAGTACAAGATAGACAAAAATAACTTAATTTCCTTCCAATAGTATAATGCCTTCTCTTACCTCATTAACTTGTCAAATGCAGTGTGAATTTAGGACAAATACTATTGGAGCAACTGTTAAATATATTCACCATATAGTACTACTGTAATAAAAATATATTAAGGAATTTAAGCCTCAAAATCTCTCTCTATAAAAGCCATTCTCTGTTTCTGACACTCCCTTTGTCAGTAACACTCAACTCTCTGTTGGTAATGTTCCAACTGGCTCAGCGGTTTTTCTCAAGCAGAAGCCTTGAGTTCAGTTCAGTGGGGATTTTTTCTAACTTTCTTATTATTAACTCATCACGTTAGATCAAGATATTGCAATATTAGGAAAAACCACAATAACATGTTAGTTTATGTTAGAGATTTGAATTATTTGTTAACATTCAACAATAAAAACTGGGTGTCACAGTAGTTGTAGCAATCAACTATCATGTGGAAGGCTTGTGTTCAAATCCCTGTTGAGTTGGAATTTTATGAACATTTTTTGGTTATATTTATTATCATATCAACCTCTTTGAATGTTTGGAAAAATATGAATAAAATTATTGATTATATAAGGGATAATATCATATTATGTAATAAAAATGAATCACTGTATGTGTCAAAAACAACTTAAATATATATTATTGATGTTTTATACCTTCAGTAAGAGATTTTTAAAAATTCAGAAAAAAAATGTCT